TATTGCTCAAATAGTGCTTTACTGCGAAGGATCGTTCTTATATACGTCTCATAACCGCAGTTCACTCATATGTTTCATATGTTTGTTGTTGTTCGATTTATCATCTACGGGTTTATATCGAATTAATTTGATGGCCTGCTCCCAGTTGGCTTGTTAGCTCAATTGGTAGAGCGCTGCACTAGTATCGCAGAGGTCAGTGGTTCGAATCCCGTACAGGCCTGAAATTTTTTTCAGGTCTGATTTCCACTATTGCTCAAATAGTGCTTTACTGCGAAGGATCGTTCTTATATACGTCTCATAACCGCAGTTCACTCATATGTTTCATATGTTTGTTGTTGTTCGATTTATCATCTACGGGTTTATATCGAATTAATTTGATGGCCTGCTCCCAGTTGGCTTGTTAGCTCAATTGGTAGAGCGCTGCACTAGTATCGCAGAGGTCAGTGGTTCGAATCCCGTACAGGCCTGAAATTTTTTTCAGGTCTGATTTCCACTATTGCTCAAATAGTGCTTTACTGCGAAGGATCGTTCTTATATACGTCTCATAACCGCAGTTCACTCATATGTTTCATATGTTTGTTGTTGTTCGATTTATCATCTACGGGTTTATATCGAATTAATTTGATGGCCTGCTCCCAGTTGGCTTGTTAGCTCAATTGGTAGAGCGCTGCACTAGTATCGCAGAGGTCAGTGGTTCGAATCCCGTACAGGCCTGAAATTTTTTTCAGGTCTGATTTCCACTATTGCTCAAATAGTGCTTTACTGCGAAGGATCGTTCTTATATACGTCTCATAACCGCAGTTCACTCATATGTTTCATATGTTTGTTGTTGTTCGATTTATCATCTACGGGTTTATATCGAATTAATTTGATGGCCTGCTCCCAGTTGGCTTGTTAGCTCAATTGGTAGAGCGCTGCACTAGTATCGCAGAGGTCAGTGGTTCGAATCCCGTACAGGCCTGAAATTTTTTTCAGGTCTGATTTCCACTATTGCTCAAATAGTGCTTTACTGCGAAGGATCGTTCTTATATACGTCTCATAACCGCAGTTCACTCATATGTTTCATATGTTTGTTGTTGTTCGATTTATCATCTACGGGTTTATATCGAATTAATTTGATGGCCTGCTCCCAGTTGGCTTGTTAGCTCAATTGGTAGAGCGCTGCACTAGTATCGCAGAGGTCAGTGGTTCGAATCCCGTACAGGCCTGAAATTTTTTTCAGGTCTGATTTCCACTATTGCTCAAATAGTGCTTTACTGCGAAGGATCGTTCTCATATACGTCTCATAACCGCAGTTCACACATATGTTTCATATGTTTGTTGTTGTTTGATTTATCATCTACGGGTTTATATCGAATTAATTTGATGGCCTGCTCCCAGTTGGCTTGTTAGCTCAATTGGTAGAGCGCTGCACTAGTATCGCAGAGGTCAGTGGTTCGAATCCCGTACAGGCCTGAAATTTTTTTCAGGTCTGATTTTCACTATTGCTCAAATAGTGCTTTACTGCGAAGGATCGTTCTCATATACGTCTCATAACCGCAGTTCACACATATGTTTCATATGTTTGTTGTTGTTTGATTTATCATCTACGGGTTTATATCGAATTAATTTGATGGCCTGCTCCCAGTTGGCTTGTTAGCTCAATTGGTAGAGCGCTGCACTAGTATCGCAGAGGTCAGTGGTTCGAATCCCGTACAGGCCTGAAATTTTTTTCAGGTCTGATTTCCACTATTGCTCAAATAGTGCTTTACTGCGAAGGATCGTTCT